GCAGCATCATGGGAAAGCGTTGATATACAAGCTAAACAATACCTTAAGGGCGTAGTGAAAAAAGCCAACTAATCAGAGTTGAGAGGTGCTATAAAATATGGCGCCAAAAAAAATAAAAATATAAACCAAGATGATAACAACCGGGATTGTAATAAATGACATAAATAAGTATAAAATATAAAAATAATAAATGGGAATGATCGTATATAATGGATATAAAATATAAGTATATGTAAAAAAACGCAAATGTACATAATAAATCCACGGTCTCAGAGATAACAAGTAAAGCATAAATACAAGCATAATATCAAATGATAATTTGTGTACTCAATTTTGTGTACTCAATAAATTATATTTTGGCAATACTAGACACCTCTCCTGAAGTTTTTATTTATATATATATGTTTGCCGATGCAGCTTTTAAGTTTTATTTATGTTCTCACAATACAAGTTTGCTGCAACTTCCAGTATATATCTACTTCTTCATGTCCTCTCACCTCAACTAGTCGTATGTCTGATCCAAAGAATATTTTACCTCAACTACGCAGGGAACTCGCCGATAAACTCAAGAATTATCCTACGACATTGGAACATTTCGCTTTTCAATATGGAGCGTCGACGTTCAATAAATCAAGATTTGCTTGCCATGTTAATTTTATTTCCACTTGTCTCAGAAGTAACATCATCCCGTTTGGATTTCGATCTAACTGGAAACCATCTATCGCCAATGTCCATCCGGACACTGTATCAAAACACATTCAGGATTGTTCCAGACGACTTATGCGATCCAGTCTACGGTCATTTCAAAGGAGCCGTAACACCAATAGTGACAGGATGGAACGTTTTCTTAATCTAATCAAGGAATCATGCAACTATACCGACTTCAACCATATTCGCCATACGGTCCACGTTCTTAACCGCAAGTACTATGAGTGTCTCACTGCTATTAAACAATCTAAACTGGACAGGCTATTATCCGAACAAAAACCGAATAACGCTACTATTAGTTTACCTGATACATCTAAACTTGTTGTTACAATCCCATCTGATCTCGATCTCACCGATGATGAAAGGTCTGTTCTTTCTAAAGGACTTTCGTTTGTTCCTAAACGTGAATTTGTTGATGATTTCCAAGTGAAGAGCGATTTAGAACTTTTTTATCGGAGATTAAGACTGAAGGCCCGTTTTCATAACCATAACATCCTGCCTAAAGAACAAGATGATTTTACTTGTTTAGTCAAGAATAAATCTAATTGGACACCTCCTGCTGGACAGTTCAAAACCTTGGATCTCTACATAGAGAAATGTCGCCACGATGTTAACCAGATTAACTTTAAACGCCGAACTAAATGCAATAATTTATCACACCAAGAAATAAAAGCCTTGCGTTCACTGAGAAACAACAACAATTTGGTCATCAAACATGCAGATAAAGGCGGAGCTACTGTAGTATGGAAAAGGGAACTTTACATTGCTGAAGGGGAGCGTCAATTATCAGATAATGCAACGTACCTACCTCTTCTTCAAGACCCGACAGCTCAAGACCAGTCATTGGTAAGCACTGCTATTGATGATATGATTAACAACAACGAACTGCCTCCTACTGCCAAGTGTTTGGTTAACCCGCATCCATCCTGCTGACGCTTCTACATGCTGCCTAAAATACATAAAGCTAACACACCAGGTCGTCCTATCGTGTCTTCTTGCAATTGTCCCACAGTCATCATAAGTGAATTCCTCGATAATGTTTTGAGACCTATTGTTCAACGGTTACCTACATATGTCAAAGATACCAACGAAGCCATCCGTTTATTCAGTGAATTTCAATTTACCGGAGTAAATTGTCATATTTTCACCATGGATGTCAAGTCTCTCTACACTTCAATACCTATACCGGACGGTTTGATTGCTTTGAAACATTTTCTAGATCGTGATAGTACTACCAAATATGCCACATCCACCATTATTCGTCTTGCAGAATTGGTACTCCGAACTGCATCTTTTAGTTTTAATGGAACTTTCTACAGACAGCTTTCAGGAGTTAGTATGGGTACGCGTATGGGTCCAAGTTTTGCGTGCCTGTTCATGGGATATTTTCTTGTAAGTATTTAATACAGTAGATCATCACCCTTCTCTTAATTGTTAAACAAAACCATACTGAATTGTTAAATAATTTATGAAAAATTAATAAATTCTGTATAATTTTAGGTTGTATGTATAATAATGATTTCACACGCAATAATACCAGCAATTCTGACAGGACTCCCCTAGTCCTAACATACCATCCCATGACTAAACAAGTGGCTCAAATTATCATCAAGAACTTCGACATATTAGCTTCCGACCCATCCACTGAGACTGTCTTTAAATCACCACCAATCTGTGCGTATCGTCGCGATAACAGCATCAGGGACACTCTTGTTCATTCTAATTTACGCACTTCACTTGATACCAAGGGATCTACTGTTTGCTGTAAAAGACCACGCTGTAAAACTTGCGCCCATGTCAAATCCATGGAATTCATCAACGGACCTTCTGGAAACCATATTATTGCAGATCAATTTTCATGCATATCTGTCAACTTGGTGTATGCCATTTTATGCACTAAATGTGATGTCATCTACATTGGTGAAACTAAGCGTCGTATGGCAGACAGATTCACGGAACACCTCAGGTCTATAAGACTGAGACAACCTGGCCTCCCTGTAGCTGAACATTTCTCCACCAACCATAGTCCGGATGACATCAAAATAACTGGTATCACCTTATGCCACGGATCCGATCACGTCAGGAAAAACACCGAGGAACGCATTATCCATCGTCTCGGTACTTTAGCTCCTCGTGGACTCAATGTTTCCTTTACATCATTTAAACTATAATTATTATTTAATATTATGCTTGTATTTATGCTTTACTTGTTATCTCTGAGACCGTGGATTTATTATGTACATTTGCGTTTTTTCAATACACTTTTATTTTATATCCATTATATACGATCATTCCTATTTATTATTTATTATATTTTATATCATTTATTACAATCCCGGTTGTTATCATCTTGGTTTATATTTTTATTTTTTGGCGCCATATTTTATAGCACCTCTCAACTCTGATTGGTTGACTTTTTTCACTACGCCCTTAAGGTATTGTTTAGCTTGTATATCAACGCTTTCCCATGATGCTGCATACTGCGTCCGCATTCTATTTATTTATTCTCGTATTCATTTTTATCTGTACGTATACCTGATGAAGGGCGATGCCCGAAAACGTTCGTGTACTCAATAAATTACATTTGGCAATACTAGACACCTCTCCTGAAGTTTATATATATATATATATATATATATATATATATATATATATAAAATAAATTTTTGTGTGTAGCACTGTTTATATAATTAAATAATGGTGAAAACAGAGCTCGAATAAATGGAAAGTGATGTGAGTATCGTATCGGAAATAGCCTATCAAATAAAAAAAAAATCCTTATACTGTTTGTTGATATACCGTACTATTTGCCAAAGAATACTCTAGAAGTCCTACCTGTATTATAATGAAGTAACATAGTATCAATGTTGCTGCGTAGCATTGTGGTATAACTAATCAAATAATGACAGAAACAGTGCTAAATGCACTCAAACTGCATGCAAATGCACACAAACTTTGATGTTTCCATTGAGTTTCCAAAATCCTCAAAGCACTGCTTTTACACCACTTTATTCTCAGTTTAATGTTACATTACCTTTTTACATAATCGGCGTGTGGCCGTAAACAATAAGATGTTTTCTAGCCAATGTTGCTTGGCAGGCCGCACACGTAGGGTTTTTAATTCATTTTCGCGGGCCGCACTTTGCCCACCTGTTGTATATGTATACACGAATAAAACATTTTGTATTCGATTGTCTAGAAGCGTTTTTGCATCATATAATAAACAAGTAGATCAAAAACAAGTTTCATGCTCTCTTCCAGAAGTGCACGATTTTTCTCCTTATCCGCTCTGCTTGTCGACAACAATGGAATTTGCCAAACGGAAAATGGCGTGCCAGTTTGTAAGTGTGAAGGCGTTTTTACTGGGGAATTGTGTCAAGATGGTAAGAGACATTTTACTTCCTCACACTTTGCTCAAAACATATAAAAATTATTTATTTAAACACTATAACTTAACCTGCTTCTGATAACATGTAGATAAATACAGAGCGATGTTTATTGAAAATGAACCACTGGGCTAGTAACCATACAGGTTACTATATTTTTGTTGATACAGTAGTATAATTAAATTATTTTGATTACAGTATTTAAATATGCATATTTTGTATCTCTCAAGTTCATGTATGTGATGATAACTTTATTTGTGACGAAGGCGGTGTTTGTCTTAATAATGGAAGGACAGGAATCTGCTACTACAACAACCAAAACAATAAATTTACAACAAACACATCAGGTATAATTTAAAATGCTTCAGCTGCTAGATTTGTTTTGTTTCAAAGGTTGAAAAAATGTTAATGTTTCTATAGAGAGGTAAACTATCGATATCATATTATATGCTCAATTTTTTTAATTTGGTATTGTAAATGTGCAATAGGTCTATTTTGTACAAAATACGATACAAATCTAACAACACTTTAATTTAATTTTTTATTCATTATTTTTATTTTTATTTTCTATCTACAGTCGTAGTTGTTCTCATAGTTATGCTTGTGCTAAGCGCTGTCATGAATATTGTTGGAATCGCTTATATTGTATGTAAAAGGTAACTAAACGTGCTATGAATATTATGATAGAGTAATACTCATTCTTCTTTTGTAATTAATGAAAGCAAGGCTGTCGTAAAACTAATTTAATAATTTACAGTAACAACTCCCATCGTCGATTTACTTTACATTGTATAGATATAATCAACGAACGAATAAAAAAGGAAGTGATTCAATAAACATGGAAGTTAGGAAAAACGGTCGAGAATATGACGAAGTTATTGTAAATACAATTAACACAGGAGCTGGAGCAGATTTACAAAATCAGAATCGAACACAAGCCACTCAATCGCTACGTCTAAAAAAGACTGAAACAAAGGCTCAAGCCGAGAAAGATTTGCCTTACGAAATACCACATATATATATGTCAATAGATGCTGCATACACAGACTTAAAAAAGTAATTACTTTACCGCAAGCACGTGGTACGGTAACAACTAATTTTTGTATTTTATTATGAATTTATTATTATAGTCGATGTCCTTTTTTAGCTTTAGTATGATATGCGTATCATTACATACACGCCTAGACCTTTATTTCACCTCCTCATCGAAGGGCAAACTGAATGCATTTAAATCTGCATTGAGTTTTAAATTTTTTTATTTAATATATAACTATCCTGCAAATGTAAAAGATTTATTTTAACTTTTATAGATAAAAATCATGAATTCAGACAAGTGTTTTAAAAATGCAATGTGTTCCATCACCACACAATCTGTTTACATTATAAACTGAATTTCTAACAATCTTATGCTATCCTGTTCATTGTAAATTTTGCTTCTTGTTAAAACATTTCTTTTATGATATATTTTTTTACGTCACGTCATATTTTGTAAATAATAACGATGATAAAATAATAACGACGATGATAATGATTATAATAATGATACTGATGATGATAATATTACGATGGAAAAATAATCATATTAACGATGATGATAACATACTACTACTGATGATATAATACTTGATTATAATTATAATAATTAAAAAAATGTAATGAACGTGACATAGTGAGATAGGCCTTATCTACTATGTAATACATTTACACAAATGATTTTAAATTAAATTTTAGTTACTGAAATTTAAATAAGTAAGTCGACGAGTGTCATTATTGACTCGATCAGAAAAAATAGTAAACAGAATTATTGTCAATCATATAAAGAGTAGATTAGTGTACTACAAATAATCTTGCCATATTTATTTATTTATTCTTTATACTGGGTTACCTCTTCAGTAAAAAGTTACTGTTCTCCCAGAGGGCCCAGGACGCATAAAACATTAAAATCGCAAGAGAAACAACACAGAACATAAAAAAACTAAACAAACACGAATGAAGTAAATAATTACCTACCCCCCTCATTCCAAATTCGAGAACCCCTAAAAGTAAAACTTCTTCTACCAGATTCAGTTCTGACTTTAGGCAAAATTAAATTTCCTGCAGAACTGGATCTGGTAGAATAGTTATGAAAACTGTCAACTGAGGTGAAAGTGTTTTGGAGAGAAGGAACTCTGCCACTCAAGCATTTGTAAAATGCTAAAAAAAAATAATGAAAAAAAAAAAACCCTGAAGGAATTGATTTTAGCCGCACTCAACAAGGTAATAAGTCAATTTTGATTAATCCTTAGACTATCGAATTTGTAGATGAAGTTAAGTGCATTGAATATAAAAATATCTCATTGGTAACGAAAAAACTGTATATAATATATTTTACTTGTGCAAACAAAAATATAGCATCAGTAAAAGTTGGGCTTAAAGTAAAACTTCTACCAGATTCAGTTCTGACTTTAGGCAAAATTAAATTTCCTGCAAAACTGGATCTGGTAGAATAGTTATGAACACTGCCAACTGAGGTGAAAGTGTTTTGGAGAGAAGGGACTCTCAAGCATTTGTAAGATGCTAACAAAAAAAATAAATAAATAAATAAAACCTAAAGGAATTGATTTTAGACGCACTCAACAAGGTAATAAGTCAATTTTGATTAATCCTTAGACTATCGAATTTGTAGATGAAGATGAGTGCATTGAATATTAAAGCAAATATCTCATTGGTAACGAAACAACTGTATATAATATATTTTACTTGTGCAAACAAAAAATATAGCATCAGTAAAAGATGGGCTTATAGACACTTTTTTTGGATTTATTTTGAAACAGCGCCTCAAACGTCTCACAACTCACTGGGGACTTGCAGCGGGCAAAATTTTTTTTTTTGTAGGTAAGTTTAGTAAAATGTCATTAATTATTCACAAGGCTTCTTAAAGGCCATATTTTGCGTATGCGCTACTTTCAAGTCTGTGTCAGCCCATGGATAGCTGCTCTATCACGATAGGACCTAGTTCTCAGCACAATTGTATGGGCCTTGTATTTGCATCAGTGCAAAAATAAACCCAGTGATTGAATTGATTCTGAATTTTAATACATTAGCCAAAATTATGCCATGATAAACATCAGATAGAAAAAGGTGGAAGAGTTCAGAAGAAAGGGTAGCCCTATGTTCATCAGTGGACTGAGTATGAGGAAAACTCCACTGTCGAGACTATCGCTCGGTGCTGATACGAATAGCAGTAGCGGATCCAGGGGGAGTGAATAAGGTGGCACCACCCCACACCTTTTTGGATACCGTTAAACACTCGTCTTGTGTATGTGATGAGTTTCTCGTGAATATATTACGTGTAAGGCCCCTCCCATCTCAAATGGGGAGGAGAATTATAAGTCCTCCTTCCAAAACCACTCCCTCCACCATTTAGGTGGTTCGCACATCGCATAATTCACTCCCCCCCTTTGCTAAATTATCCGCCACTGGATAGGGTTACCTACGATATACATTTATTTATGTTATGTAAGTGGATATATTTAACGACGCTAATTTCGATCGAGTAAACTAAATAAAATAATAATAATAATAATAATAATAATAATAATAATAATAATAATAATAATAATAACAACAATGAGATAGCACTATATAAGTTTATTAAAGTTTAACTGCGCATACGTTATTTATTTCACGTAGATATATCGTTTACTGATTTGTTAACGGTCGCGATGTCACTCCAACCGTTCCCACCGAAAATTGGAAAAATGGCCGCCAAAAAAACACAATTTTTGCAGTTTAAATGCTCTAATTGTCCACATTACCATGATTTTGGTGTCAATACCTATGTTCTTTGGTTCATGGAATCCAGTAAAACGTTATTAAAATATAATAACGTACATCTTTATCGTGAAAATGCAAAATTTAATAAAATATTCAAAATGGCCACCAAAAATAGAAAAAAAAAATTGGCAGTTTGAAGGCACTAAGAGTCATATTACCACAATCTTGGTGTCAAAACGTATGTTGTTTAGTTCAAGGAATGAAATAGAACATATATAAAACACCATAGCATACACCTTTATTGCGAAAATGCAAAATAAATATTCAAAATGGCCGCCAAAACACATTTCTAGTATTAAAATGACTGTGAGTGCCGCCATGACCTTAAGTGTCCACAGCAATGCTTTAGATCAAGTAATCCAACTGCTGTCTCTTATACACATCTAGATGTGTTGAATTAGTCCCACTCGGAAAGAATGTCTGTTATTAACTTCCATAGCATTAAATCAAAATTTAGCACCTAATTCATTATTTGGTCATCCGTTTTTAAATTGTAGCCTCGATACAAGCCTACATTCATAGAATATCTCAGCTTCAGAAGTTCGGAGATTTAAATTGAACGCAACTCCTGCAAACCATGACTTTACGATGGCACACATAAGAATGGCAAACATCGATAAAAACCTGACTGCCGTCTCAACTTTCACTGGCCTTTGGCTGAATGTTTGTAAGAAATGTAGCAACCGTTAACGAAACCGGTCGCCGTCTACCTAGAGTAAATGGTGCCACCAAACGAAGCTAAAGTTTTGCGACTTAATCCACCAAGTGCGGATAAAGTTTTGCGACTTAATCACCTGATTGTGGATTGTGTGTTTAGTAAATTCCATAGCCATACTGTCCATAGCGCACACTAAACTATGTGCTGTTGGAGCATTTTGGGGAAATTGACTCTCCTTTTTTCCATCCCAAACAAAATATTATTAATAAATCAACATGGTCCATCTCAGTCATCATAGCCAGTCACAAAATTAGGCTAGGAAGTTTGTTTTCAACAGCAGACACACACTACAGAACGGAGTGCGTCGAAACGAGTGTTTTTTTTAGTGATAAAGAATCATGAAACGTCCTAGAATAACTGACTTTTTTCCGTCTGTTGTTGCAAAGAAGAAGGGTTATTGATTTCAAAATCAATTAGCCTAGCCTAGATGTTGACTAGCTAGGTTCGCTGCTCGTTCATTTAGAGACAGAATTATAGCCCGACGACAACAAACCAGTGTAGGCCTAAGTACAGTAGGACGTACTACAGGTGGCCCATAGGCTTTTGTTGTAAAAGTTGAAGTGCATGTACAAAATGCGGCATAGGCCTATATTAAAAAAAACCAAAACATTTTGTTAATTATTATTGGTTGGCCTGGGACCGGGTCAGGCATTCCAGCTTTACCGTCGAAAGTCCTGGGATTCGACGATGACGTCAGTGCACGTTTACAAACGCCACTGATTAGAATGAAAATAGACGCGCTGAATTTCATTTTTTAAAAAATGAAAGATAGAATTTATCGAACATTTATCTATATAAAAACAAGATTAATATTGTAGAAATTGTATTTCTAAAGATGCATATAATTCATATTTCATTTGGCAGACAATAAATATTCAGGAAGATAAAATAAAAACGATTATTAATTATAAAATGTGCATCAAATCTCAGCTATTATTAATCAGTATTTTTTGTAGCCTATTATGTTTAAAGTCTTAAAATAATAATTTTGAATTAGGCCTAAGTATATAACAAATAATTGTATTAAAGTTTAGGTTCTCATGATGTCAGATAACGTATCGAATATGGTGCTATATTTTGGGCTCTAACTTAATTTAACGACGGCCCTGTCAGTAGTAATGACAATATTTTTGCTTTTTTTAGCCAGGTAGTAAAATAGTACTATTATTTTCAGTGTACAAAATGAGAGTCAAGAAGATGTAGTAGAAGAAGAATAGGAAGAGGAAGAGGAGGAAGAAGAAGAACTTAGCTTTTTTTTTGTTTTATAATAATAAATGTGTTGAGTATATTGATATTGATTATGCGATGAGGGCTTTTTTTTTATATCTTTCGGTGTTATTTAAACATGCCAATTCTCAGAAAATATTTTCTAATTTTATTATTAGATCTTTTTCAAAACAACTGCTTTTAAAACATATAGACCCATTAAACACAAAAACTGCTCTGGCTTCGGGGCCTTCGCCCCCGACCCC